AGTTTGCTTTTGAAGGAGTCAACGGAAATAGCTTCGCGGATCTGAAACGGGAAGAAGATTCATAAGTTGATGGTTGTTTAACTTCTCTGTGTTGGACAGGGTTCCCTGCTGGTGAAAGGAGAGCGAGGACCCCCTGGTGACTCAGGTCCCTCTGGTAACCCAGGAGACAGAGGTCCTGGCGGGGCCCCGGGCTTCGGACCTCAAGGGTCTACAGGAGACAAAGGTGTCCAAGGAGTCTCCGGAAGATCTGGAGGGCCCGGTGCCCCCGGTAAGTTTAATTTAAAAATGTACTTATTGTTATTTTTTTAATATGTTTCTTACATTTTCACAGGGTAACACAATGAAGAAGGAGCATGATACCAATGTACCCCCTTTTTTTTCCACTTATCCCAAACACAGAACACATTCTCCACACATGCAATCAAATAATACAAAGTATAAATACATAAATTACGTCAAAGGAAAAAAATGAAAAAGAAATAACTAAAGAAATCCCAAAAATAAATACATTATAGAAAGAAATGTACTTATTGTATTAAGAGGACATCGTTTATTTGTTTTATTAAAAGGGAAAACACTTCTTATACTGTGAGTTTAGGAAATGTGTTTCTAAGACCAGGAAAAGACAATGAATCCATATCTATATAGTTCGATAGGCCAGTGAAACTGACAAGACTCTTAACATTATGGGACATCGGCAGGATCACAGGAAGTTGTTTATCTCCTCTAGTACTTTTTAAAATAAAAGCAGAGAAAGCTAAACAAGTAAAAGCCCGTTAGATCGTGGAAAAATCACTGCTAGACTTCCCATAGGACTATTCATACATTACATTGCATTTAGCTGGCACTTTTATCCAAAGCGACTTAAAATAAGTGCATTCGACCAAGAAGATTCAAACTTGAAGAAAACAGAATCATATAAGTACATCAGGTTTCATAGAGCCAAAACATTTCAAGTGCTACTCAACTGGCTTTAGATAATCCAGCCCTTTATTAGTATATAAGTGCTTTGTTAGTAATTCTATCGCTCGAAGTGGAGTCCAAAGAGATGAGTTTTCAGTCTGAAGAAGATGTGTAAGCTATCTGCTGTCCTGATTTCAATGGGGAGCTCATTCCACCATTTTGGAGCCAGGATAGCAAACCCACGTGTTTTTGCTGATGGGAACTTGGGTCCCCCTCGCAGTGCGGGTGCAGCGAGCTGTTTGGCCGATGCAGAGCGGAGTGCACGTGCTGGGGTGTACGGTTTAACCATGTCCTGGATGTAGGAAGGGCCAGATCCATTCACAGCATGGTACGCAAGTACCAGTGTCTTGAAGTGGATTCTAGTAGTTACTGGAAGCCAGTGAAGGGAGCGGAGGAGCGGCGTGGTGTGGGAGAATTTAGGAAGGTTGAAGACCAGACGAGCCGCTGCATTCTGGATGAGCTGCAGAGGTCGGATGGCACATGCAGGTAGACCAGCCAGGAGGGAGTTGCAGTAGTCTAGGCGTGAGATGACGAGAGCCTGGACCAGAACCTGCGCTGTTTTCTGGGTCAGCTGGGGACGTATCCTCCTGATGTTGTAAAGCGTGTATCTGCAGCAGCAGTTTTCAGTGAAGGACAGTTTGTTATCTAGGGTCACACCCAGATTCCTTGCAGTCTGAGTCGGGGAAACAACAGAGGTGCCGATGTTGATTGTTAGGTCAAGAGTGGGACGACCTGGGTTTCTGAACGGGGAAAAGACAGAATTAATTGGGTGTCGTCAGCGTAGCAATGGTATGAAAAACCATGCGGGCTAATGACAGATCCGAGCGAGTTTGTGTACAGAGAGAAGAGGAGGGGACCAAGGACAGAGCCCTGAAGTACCCCTGTAGTTAATTGACAAGGGTCAGACTCCGACCCTCTCCAAGTTACCCTGTAGGGTATTGCATTATATTCATACTCGTGTTATATGAAGTACAAGTTTGTTGTACAGATATCTCTTTATAGCACTTGGCATCCTTTAGAGTCTCCTCACTGACCTCCTCTCCTTGCTTCCTCTCTCCTCTCAGGTACTAAAGGTGAACCCGGTCTAGCGATTGCAGAGAAAGGATCATCAGGGTCACCAGGACTGGACGGCTCTCCAGGACTGCCCGGATCACAAGGTACACAACTGTTATTTTACAGAAGAATAAGAAGATTTTATTTAATTTTTTACTTTATTATTTCCCCCTTTTGTTTGTTTGTTTGTTTGTTTGTTTGTTTGTTTGTTCACCATGTAAACAGCTAGGACCAAGACCATTAAGAGCCAATAAAACAATGAAACATTTTGAATCTGCTTTCATGCATCCAGGTGTTGACTCGTGTTTCTGTTGTTTGATCTGCAGGTAACCCCGGTGGGCCCGGACAGAACGGTTTCCCGGGATCACCGGGAATGAAGGGAGACCCTGGACTTCCTGGCATCGGACTCCCAGGATCCCCAGGAGTAAAAGGTAAGATAAGATAAGATAAGAGTTTATTTATCCCGAAGTAAATAGTTGTGCCAGTGTTACAAAAATACAATAAACGCAGCAGCATAACAATAATACTGTACAATACAGTAAAAAGAGAAATTAAATATCTACAGGATACATAGACGGTCACATGATGAATGTAAATATGAATTAGTCGTGCAAAAAAACGTAGTGGCAGATACGCATGTTATCATAGCACATTATTAATAATGATATTATTGCACATGTTATATAGCAGTGAGTGTTCTGTAATGATGGTAATGACCATAGGACACCTATGAAGTATATTATTTACTCAAGTACTGTACTTAAGTACCATTTCAAGGTACTTCTTGAGTATTTATATATATCATGCAACGTTATACTTTGATCTTGCTACATTTTGGTAGCTTTGGTTACAGTACATTACAGATTCAGAATAATAGCTAATACAGCATATACAAATACTGTAACTACTCTGGTATTGAAAGAACGTTACGCATCGTTTATTTACCTGTTGGGACAATTATGAAACACCGTGAAAACGTGTTCGCCGAGTAGACCAGCAGTAGAAAATGCACGTTATTAACATCGTTGACACTTTTTTTGCACTGTTTTACTCTCTCACTAACACAATGTAAACATCCGGGCTAGAGGTCACATGACTTCCGGAAAGATAACTCTTATAATTTTTTACGAAATACAACCAAGTTCAAGCATACATTAGGCACTCTTCAAAAATACAAAACAATAAATAAGGGCACTTTGAGCGTCAGCTACAAATACACTATCATATATTATTATAGGTAAAGATAGCCAGTAGCAGTATATACAGTCAAATCCTCACAATTCCCTTTTCCCCCTCCAGGATTCCCAGGTATTCCCGGTCAGAACGGACCTTCAGCAGGACCAGGAAGACCCGGAGTGGACGGACTTCCTGGCCAGCCTGGATTCCCTGGATCTAAGGTATGTAGACTGAGAGTTAGTTAGATTGATGGATGAAGTGCTTTATTAATGAGAAAGAACAACATTTAAAATCTTTAGTTAGGTCAAGACATTTCCAGGAAGTGAGATCCAAAACAATAACACCATGATAGCTATTGTACAAAAGCCTAAACATCATGTTTTAAAGGGGTCCATATTATACTTTCTGGGGTATCCCTCTCCTGTAGTGTGTTATATAATATCACGGATGACGATGACCTAATCTTTTATTTTCATGAACAATGTAAGCTAGAAGGGGGCCAGAAAAGTTGTTACGCTTCTTCTTGCCCCTTTTGAACATGACAGAAACTATTTTAGATTTTTTTTTTTTTTTTTTTTATATATATACATTTTTTTCATTTTGCTTCTCTTTGTTATAATTATTATTATAATAATAACAACTATTATTATTATTGTTTTTTTGGTTCCAACACGTTCAATGAATTGACTAATAAAATATTGGTCATGTTAGATATCCCAATAAGAAATTCAAAACATTAACAATAAAAATGAATCATCCGTCACAAAGTATCTCATACATCATCAGCCTGTGACCTAAGGTTTTCATTGTCATAACTACGCTGTAGCCACTGTATGTACAAATTACAATAAAAGCTTTGAATCTTGAACCTTGATATACTTTGCATGTAATTAACACTTTTCCGCCTGTGTGTGTTTGACAGGGTGAGCCTGGTTTTGGTCTCCCCGGCCCCCCCGGTCTCCCAGGAGTCCCTGGATCTAAAGGCTTCACCGGAGTAAAGGGAGACCCCGGCTTCTCTGGAGGCCCCGGCTCTCCTGGAAGATCTGGATCTGATGGCGGTCCTGGATCCAAAGGTATTTTGTAGTTTAATGCTCTTTGCACACCCCAAAGCATACTTGAAAATGTATTAAAGCCAACAGAGCCATATGGAGAAAACCAAGGGTTAATCATTGGTGCTTTTCAAAGAAATGATATTACCATATCATACCAACATACTAAATACTGCTCGTCACTGTACAGTATTTTAGTATCTTATCATATCTCATATCAAATATCAAATAAATATCTCGCCTCATATTGTGATATTAATATTATTTTTGACATATTGCTTTGACCTCTCCAAGCATACACCAAGCTGATGTTCTGTCCTGTCTCTGTGCAGGTGACCCTGGAACACCTGGAATACCTGGAGCTCGCGGCCCACCTGGATCCCCCACCACGGGCTCTCTGGGGCAGCCCGGCCCCCCCGGACCCTCCGGACCAATGGGATCACCAGGTCAGAAACATAATGTTAGAAAAATATCACTCGTCACCGGCTTGAGCTTCAATAATCAGGGTACATGTATTTATTATCCTCTCAAGAATGGAAATAGTCATCACACACAGAGCATTTGGTCCAACTAGTTCCTAAACATGTCCTTCACATGCTGATATACAAGAGAGAGAGTCACACAGTCACAAGATTGAGGAATACCAGTTCTTGTAGGTAATCATACATCCTGTCATGTAAGAAATACTGATTTTTACTCAAAATGTCAAAATTCTGACTTTTTCTCTAAATGTCAAAATTCTGACTTTTTCTCTACTGTAGATCTCAAAATTCTGACTTTTTCAAAAAATTCGGACTTTTTCTCAACATTTGAAAATGTTGACTATTTCTCAAAATGTTGACTTTTTCTGAAAATTCTGACTTTTTCTCAAAATTCTGACTTTTCACCAAAATTCTGACTTTTTCTCAAAATTCTGATTTTCTCTCTAGATCTCAAAATGTTGACTTTTTCTAAAAATTCTGACTTTTTCTCTACATTTCAAAATGTTGACTATTTCTCAAAATGTTGACTTTTTATGAAAATTGTGAATTTTTCTGAAAATTCTGACTTTTTCTCAAAATTCTGACTTTTTCTCAAAACGTTGACTTTTTCTTAAAATTCTGACTTTTTCTCAAAATTCTGACTTTTTCTGAATACTTAGCTCCACGTCAGAAATGATCTATATACATGTCTCTCTCCATAGAGGCTGAATCATCATGTTAATCACATAGCTATCATATGCCTCAAACAGTCCTGATGCTCTTCTAGGTAATCACACATCCTGTCATGTTCACAGCTACAGTTGGGATACCTTTGTTACAATGTGGACTCTGATATAAGAGTACATTCAGATAAAGAATAATTATTTTCC